AATATAATTCTCCCTTTATTCCTAACATTTATCTTATCTTTTCTTTCCTCAGTACCATTCTACTGCTTAACTAAGAAAATCAAAATAAATGTTGTATTCACATTTAATTTGTATTTATAACTGTCAATGTTAGTTAGAATACATTCTTGAATGACTTAGACATAAAGAAGATATAGAGCCAGTTTGGTGTAGTGGTTAAGGCATCAGGCTAAAAACCGGCAGACCATGAGTTCTAGTCCTGCCTTAGGCACAAAGCTAGCTGGGTGACCTTGGGCAAGTAATTCTCGCAAACCTAGGAAGGAGGCAATGACAAACCACATCCAAAAAACCTTGCTAAGAAAACTGCAGGGACTGGTCGAGGCAGTTCCCAGAGTCAAAAACTGACTCAAAGGGAAGAAGAAGAGGAAGAAGAGGAAGAGGAAGAAGAGGAAGAAGCAGCAGCAGCAACAGCAGCAGAATAAGGATAGGAAGAAAACGTTCTTAATTTTTTTTCTGTCTTCTACCCCTCTGTGCTTCCTGAAAAGCTGCTCTAGTTAATGGATAATTAATTTAATTAATTAATTAATAAGTTAACAGATGCTGCAGAACAGCAGAAAACATGATAGAGGGGAAAGAGAATTAACAACTCCTCGACCTCTTTCTCTACTAAGGATTCTCCACTGGATCCCTGTTCTCTTATATGAGCAGCATCTGGGCATAGGCTGAGTCTGAGTGACTAGAATATCTGCTAATCAGAGGGAGGATAAATCTGCTTCCAGTGTCTCTGTAAAAGGAGCAACAAAGAATAGCATGTTCTGCGATTTCCACCTCTCCAGAATCACAGGGGCAAAACTTTTCAGCCAATGGTACTTTTTTATATTTGCCATTCAGTACTGCAGAGGGGAGAGCATGACATCGGGCAAGACAGAAAGCTTTCCAGCCATGTGAGGTAGCTGGCAGTAGTGACAATATATCTGTTGTGTGCTGATGATGGGAAACCTGGGGCACACACACACATACAAATCCAACAATAGGATGCTGGTGTTGTTCAGCAATATCTGAAGTGCTAGAGATTATCTATCCCTGACCTAGCAATAGCTTCTCAAACAAAGAATACACCAATAATTCAAGAGGAGATTTAAGTACTATATTCTAAAGAGATGCCAGTGAAATATAAAGGACTGGCTATATTCAGGAAAAATAAATAAATTCTGAACAGTTAATGTTAGCTCTGCAGATTCTGTATAACTCTCTTATTTCAGTAGACACATTTGAATGAATGTTAATTAAAATTTACTTTTATATATAAGACCCATGACAAATGCCTATTCAATCAGATAAATGTTTTGGGAAAACTTTTTACATAATTTAATTGTCTCAAAATGATACAAATACAGTTTACAAATATTAAAGAAAAATGCTTAACATCAAATTGTCTACTATCGGTTTTGAGGTTTACTGAAGAGTATAGCAGGTTGTTGCACAGAAAGTCCACAAGCAGCCACTGAAACAGGAACCATAAGGAATACAGCCAATGGTGGCAAAGTAAGTAGTTCCAAACAATTCAGACAGGCAATGAAAACAGCAGACACTTAATAGCATATTAATATAAATGTGCCATGCTCATACAGCCCTTCTTCAATGTTAGAACTACCAAACAGCCTAAGTAGAATACTTAGAATACTAAGTAGAACACTCTGCTTATTTTAACCAACTGCTGAAAGTATTGACAAATAATGAAGACTGGGCAGGATTTTTATTTATTTATTTATTTAAAATATTTGTATGGCCACCCTTCTTAAACAACTCTGGGCAGCTCACATTTATGAAAATAGGTCCATTACCTTTTCTAGTTATTTCATATTTAGTGCATTTATGTTATGTTATTTTGTTTATGTTTATGTTAAACTGTACAATTTAAGTAGAACTTGCTATTCATTGGACTTACAATAAGAGTAGAGCTATGTGTAGAATCTATATTATATTTCCTTGTCCTTCGGTATGTTGTTCCTTTAAACAGTATAAATTCCTAACACATTTAGAAATACATTTGAAACTCTCAATAGATTTCCATCTCAAATTCAAGGGGCTTGTTGTTACAGTGGTACCTCGGGATACGAACTTAATCCGTTCTGTGACTCTGGGCGTATCCCGAGTTGGTTGTAACCCGACGCAAATTTCCCCATAGGGT